GACTCGCGGAGGCTGCCGCGCGCAGAGAGAGCGTGAGGGGCACAAGTAGATAGGGAACGCTGGGCTAGTGAGAGACCGCGGAGTGTGCGCGCGAAGCCGAGCCGCGCAGAGCCGTGAAGCCGCGCAGATAAGAGAAGCGGGCTGAAGCGGCTCAGAGCCGGGAAGCCGCCAAGAAGCAGCCTCGGGGCGGGCGCCGGGAAGCCGCGGGGATAAGAGAAACAGAAGTTTAGAAGTAAAATGAGAGAAATAGGAATGCTGGAAGATAGAAGTAAAATGGGAGAAATAGGAATGCCCGGACATAGAGAAATAGAGAAATAGAAAGGCCACCCCACAACATGGCAATGAGAGAGCTTGGATTCGGTCTGCCTGATTAGTGAGGCGGTAAGCACCAGCAGGCGGCTCGACCAGAGTATGAGCTGCAGGTCACCGAAGATAGGCACGAATCAACACCAATAAGCCTCCCCACAATATGGCAATGAGAAGGCTTGGATTCGGTTTGCCTGATAGGGCTTGTAAGCACCTGCAGGCAGAGCAGAGCATGCGCTGCAGGGCACCGAACACAGGCACGCATCAGTGCCTAAAAACCTCCTCACAACATGGCGAAGAGAGGACCCGGATTCGGTTTGCCTGATTGATAGGACTTGTAAGCACCTGTGGGCAACTCTAGCAAGCAGAGCAGAGTGTGTGCTGCGGGGCACCGAAGACAGGCGCGTATCAACGCCAAAAAATAAAAAGAAAGGGGGATCTGTGGGGAGCAACTCGGACTAGACTGGGTTACTGGAATTAAGACTTATTCTATGCATCTGCTCTCCCACAATATGGCGCTGGGAGAGGAGAAAACAGCTTCTACACAGCTGCCTCCAGTTCAACCAATAAACTGTAGGACCTGCTCCTGATTGGAGGAGAGCAGTGTACTCGGCGTGTGGGCAGCAGAGTTGGGATTGGCGGAAGAGGACTATAAAGGAGGAGAGAGACAACATGCACCAGGAACATCTAAGGGGAACACCTGTGCAGCCCCCGAGAGAGCCGGCCGGCGGTGTGCCGCTCCCCCACGGAAGTGGGGAATGTGGCAGGGGGAACCGCCCTTCCACGGAGGTGGAAGGGACGGTAGCCAACCCGGGAAGAACCAGCAGCAAACCCGGGGAGGGCCGAGCAGACGAAAGAACAGCGCAGGGTCCTGTGTCGTTCCTCCACGAAGAGGGGGAGCGACAGTGTGCCCCAGTCCTGTTCTTGCCAGACGCCCAGAGCCAGCTGGGAAGACCACGGCGGGGTCCCTCGGGGCAGGGGGTCAGCGGGTGGCTCCTGCTCCAAGGCACTGGCCTAGGGATGGCTCCTTGACCCCAGAAGGCCTGGAGCCTGTCACCAGGGTGGCCAGTGGGGAGAAGCGAGGGCTGGGTCAGGCGGCAGCCCTGCCCTCCAGGGGTTCCCAGGCTGGCTGAGAGGCCCAGCACCCAGGTCACCGCACACAGCACCAGCAGCGGCTCCCTGGAGGGACGGCCTCCGTCGTGAGCCTTAGTGTCCGGGGCAGGGAGAGGGGAGGAAGCACGCGGAGAGGGTGGGGCCGCCCCCAGCCCCTCCTGGCCCCAGGCCTCCACTCCTGCCTTCCTGGCCTGCTCCTTTCTCCCCCAGGGGGACGAAGGCCGGCCGTGTCCGCAGCTGACAACCAGCTCGGGCTCCCTTCGGAGCTGGTCCGCGGCGTCTCACTTCCGCTCGATCGCTGCCCAGACGGGTCTGTGTCCTACAGCTGGAGACGGCGCGGGTGGGCGGCTCCGCAGTGCCCCAAGGTGCTTCTAGTAGGGGGTCCTTGATGGAAACGAGCCCCCCACACCACACGTGGAGGGCTTCTCCGTCCAGCCCCGCACTTCCCTCCTCTGCTCCCCGCGGCCGAGAAAGGCGATTTCTCCCCAGAGTGATAACTGGTTGGCTTTTTAGGGAGTGAAAACAGAGGCTGGGGAGTGGACATTTAGCCTCGCTGGTAAGACGCCTGCTTCCCGCATCACAGTGCCTGGGTTCAGTCCCCTGCTCTGGCTGCGGCTTTCCTGCTAATGGACACCCCGGGAGGCAGCGGTGAGGGCTCAGATATCTGGGTCCCTGCCACCCACAGGGGGACCTGGCTTGAATTCCTGCTCCCAGCTTCGGCTTGGCTCTGTGCTGGCCATCGTGGGTGTTTGGAGAGTGAAACAGCAGATAGGTGCTCGCTCTCTCTCGCTCTCTCTCTCTCTCTCTCTCTCTCTCTGTCTCTCCATCTCAAATAGTTTTTTTTTTAAAAAAGCAATAAAGTCCCCTTTGTTAGTAACCCACTATTTTAAATATCTCGGTTCTCGAGATGGTGTGTGCAACACACGATTAGCTTCCGGTAGGCACCCAGGGAAACACCAAGCACAAATCCTGGGCGTGCGGCAGGGGTGTTTTGTTGTTTCAAGTATTATTTGCATAAGGTTTGTGTCCGTGCTCCCCAGGTAGCCTGTGCGAGCACTTTAGTGGCCCCTGGCCTTGGAATATAAGTGGGACAAAGAGGGAAGTCCCCATGGGGCAGTGGGTTAGTAGTTTGCTGGGTTTTCCGCCCTCTGCTGGTCGTCCGAGGAGAATCACCCGCCACTGCGTGGCCGCTCGCAGACCCCTGAGTACAGCCCCTTCTCGGGGTGTTGCCTTCTGGTAGACGTTTGAGCATCTGGAGAGGAGGGTGATCAGTGCACGCGTGAGGTGAGAAGAATCTCCCACGAGGAAGTCGGCACCTCTGAGCTGCACTCAGTCCCACCACCAGGTCACTCCGGATTGCTCACGTGTATCGACAGCACGGTGGCAGGTGCAGCAGCAGATTTTTAAAAACAGCAGCCTGTGCCAGTGTGAGCAGAGCTGCGGGTTGTGGAAGGCCCGGGGGGCAGGAGCAGGGGTGAGGGCGGTTGTCTCCAGTGGTCCAGGGTTCAAATCACGGCTCCTCCATCTCTTTCTGCCTGGCTTTGGCCAAGTCTTTATCCCCGGTTTCCAGTCCTTGGGCTGTTACTGTATGGCTGATACGCAGGTAAGGGCCCACTTGGGATCTCAGAGTAGAGTGATGGCGTGTGTGCACCGCCCACTTGATAAATCTAAGACGAGCACTTACAGATGAGAGGCAGGAGAGAAGCGGAATCCTGGCGTCACCGCCTGGGTGGCCCAGGCTACTGAGGTGCTCAGTGGTCTCCTCTAACAGCATCAGGACTTCCAGGCGTGTTCACGTCCTCTCTCGTCACATGCATTCCCGCGCCGCCAGCCAGCAGCCCAAGGAAGCAGTGTTTCCTGGCCTCCGTTCTGAAGCCGGGTCCAGTGGCGCCCCAGGTTGTGCAGGAAGGTGCTGACAGTGGGGAGCGGGCGCCCCCAGCTGACTGCAGACGGGGCTCAGTGGAAGGGAAACAGGAGAAGGCTCTTCACACGCCGACTGCACACCTGCCTTGTGAGCACCGGCCCTCACTGGCAGGAACCACTGCCCACTACCCCCTGCCCGGCCACCTGCCGTTGAACTGTCACTGTCACCTTTAGTGACACCTAAGGTGTTTGGTACAGTGGGGCACCAGATGGGGCTCTGATGTCACCGCTGGCCTGGGCCCTGCATGGAGGAGCCTTTGTCCATGTTGGGTCACTTTGCCCCCGGGGGTCCACTCACCACCCAGTGAGTACTCAGTATTCCCAAGCAGCCAGAAGGCTCGTCAGGACAAGCCCCCGTCTCCTCGTGGAGGGAGCTCGCCTCCGCTTCCCCCAGTTAGATAGCAGCAGGAGCAGGTACAAGGGCAGTGGCAGCTGCTGGGGGTCATCGGTGGAGGAGGGGCCTGCAGCCCGGCCAGGACCTCTAGAAGACCCGGGGGGCTCTGAGCTGGGCCTTGGGGGCCATGACTCCTGACACAGTGCACAGGGCGCTGAGAAATGACGGGAAGGCACTGGCCGTGCTGGCTTGGAAGGGGAGCTGGGTCTGGGGGCGGGGCACGTGGATGTGAGGGGCTCCGGTCTGCCCAGCAGGGTCAGCGGAAGTGGTTTCTTCCAGAGGGGCCTGGGATAGCCAGGAGCACCCTGGGCTCGAGGGCCCACTCGCCCTCGCTGCCGCCCGGGAAGGCTGCGCCCCGAGCCGGGGCTCTCCTGGGCGTGAATCTAAGTAGAGGCAATGACCACGCGTAGCTGAGCCGACCCTGAAGCCGCAGGCAGAGTGCTGGGCTCAGCGTGAGCCCTGACGGCCCATGAGCTCTGCTGCCGCTCCCCGCCCCTGCTGAGCCTGTCCCTGCTTCTCCGCAGGTCCGCCATGGAGCCCCTCTGCCCCCTGCTGCTGGCGGGGTTTAGCCTGCCGCTCACCAGGGCTCTCCAGGGCAACGAGAGCACCGCAGCGGACGGCAACTGGACCGCGGCGACCTCAGGTAGGGATGCACCACCTGGCTCCCCTGTGCTGGCCATGCCCGCCCCAGGGCTCCCCTGTGCTGGCCGTCCCCGCCCCAGGGCTCCCCTGTGCTGGCCATGCCCGCCCCAGCCCGCCCCAGGGCTCCCCTGTGCTGGCCATGCCTGCCCCAGGGCTCCCCTGTGCTGGCCGTGCCCGCCCCAGCCCGACCCAGGGCTCCCCTGTGCTTGCCACAGGGTGGCAGGAAGGGCGGGCCGGTCCCTCTGCAGCAGTGCTTCCTCTCAGCTGCGCCCCGCAGTGGGGACAGAGGGAGGAAGGATAAGCGGCTCATCTTAGGTGAGATGGTGGCACACGGTTCCGTTTGAAGCCTCAGAATGTTCTGGAGAGGGGCCAGCACTTGGTGGAGCTGATGTTGAGATGCACCTGCGTCGCACATAGCTTCCTGAAAAGGCCGACCCTGGGCGGCAGGCATGGCTCAGGTGCCTGGGCTCCCGCCGCCGTGTGCAGTTCCTGGCTTTTCAGCCTTCCTCCGAGGCTGTGGCAGGCACTTGGGAGAGTGACCAGCACACGGACATTCTCTCTCTCCCTCTCGCTGCCTCTCTCTTCCTCTCAAATCTGGGGGAAAAAAAAGTCTGTGGAAAAGTGCAGTTAAAAGGTACATTTATTTTAAAGAAAAAAACTGAAATCTATGCTTTCCTTTTCATAACACACATTTTGCATGAACTCTGTGGAAGGCTGCCCTTGGGGCGTTCAGGAACACGTGATGCCTGGAGGCAACTCAGGAACGAGCACGTGGGGACACGTGGGGACAGGAGGTGGGCGGGGCAACAGCCCCCCCACCACGAGAGCAAGGAGGGGCAGACACATGGAGCTTGTTCCACTTCTCCCCTTCTTTGAAAAGTTACAACAGAGAATGAAGAAGACACCACTGGCCTCTGACACATGTGGCCCCTGTGACACACGTGGCCCCTGTGACGTGGAGGCACCCAGGGCCGCGCTCAGTGAAAGCAGGCGGACACAGAGCACCCCGTGTGATCTGATGCCAGGAAGTTGCTGAGTGGGCGGAGGTGTGGAGGGAGGAAGTGATCAGAGCTGCTGGGGCTGGGGTAGCAACAGGTGGTAAACAAAGACAGGCAGCCTCAAGGGGGGATGGCAGTGTTACGTTTTCCTTTTAATATTATTTATTTGAAAGAGTTACATAGGAAGAGGAAGGAGACAGAGACAGAGACAGAGAGAGAATCTTCCGTCCTCTGGCTTCCTCCCCAAATGGCCACAACAGCCAGGGATGGGCCAGGCTAAAGCCAGAAGTCAGGAGCTTCCTCCAGGTCTCCCATGTGGGTACAGGCCCAAGCATGGGCCATCTTCCTCTGCCTTCCCAGGCACGTTAGCAGGGAGCTGGGTCAGAAGTGGAGCAGCCGGGACAGCTGGGTGCTGGCGTCACAGGCAGCGGCTTCACCCGCTGTGCCACAACGCCGGCCCCGATGGCAAGGTTCTAAGAGTGGATTATGGTGAGGACTGCACAACCATGTGAATTTACTAAAAACCGTTGAAGTGAATGCTTAACACGGGTGATCTGATGGCCTGTGAATCTTACCACTGGAACGTAAACACTGTGCACAAAGGAGGAGGCGGGAGAGGAAGAAACAGACTAGAGACATGGTCAGGTTCAGATTCCGTCCCTGCCACTGCTGCCTGGGCGGCCTTGACTGGCTTCCTGAGCCCCCAAGACCTCAGTGTCCCCACTTGCGGTGGGAGATGGCAGTGGTGCCGTGCAGGCGCCGGTCACCGGGCACAGCCAGGAGCTGCAGGCTCAGCAGCGCCTGTGGCAGATGGGGCAGGCCCGCGGGAGCGCAGCACAGACTCCTGCAGGGGGCGCTGTGGGCACGCGGGGCCCTACGCACCATGCCCTGAGCACCAGCTGGCATCATGGCCGAGGGCAGAGCCGGGCTCCTGTGACCTCAGCACCAGAGCAGAGGCAAAGCCAGTCTCCCCCCGGGTGCAGCCTCCTCCGGGGCCCGCACAAGCACCCGTGGAGCAGGCCTGGGTGCCAAGGTGCAGACGGCACCTCTGGCCGGTGGAGGGGCGCTGGCAAGGATAACACATGGCCGCACTGTGCCAGAGTAACCGGCAAGCATGCCATGCGCTCAGCGGACAGAACGTATTCATGGAGACTCATTGCTGCACTCACGGAGTCACAGGTAACTTTGCCAGTCGCGTAGCAGGGTGTTTCCTCCTGTCGCAGGAGCACCTAGAAGTTAACATGTGGAAGATACAGGAGGAAAACAGCTACAGAATATCACCAGGCAAACTGCAAATATCTGGTGAACTTCACTTATGGAAAGATGTTACTTTACTTACCAGACTGGCGAACTTAAAAAGGATTCCTGGAACAGGTTCTTTGACTTAGTGTTTAAGATGCTGATTAAGACACTGGCATCCCCTGTGTGGGTGCCTGGGTTCGAGTCCCACCCGCTCTCCTGATTCCAACTGCCCACTACTGCAGAGCCTGGAGGCAGGAGACAGTGGCCAGGTGGCTGGGTCCCTGCCACCCCCCTGGGAGACCTGGACTGAGGTCCCGGGTCCTGGCTTCAGCCTGGCCCCTGCGCAGCCTTTGCAAGCATTTGGATGGGAACCAGCAGATGGGAGATTCTCTCTCTCTCTGTGAAGAAATTTTGAAGTAAACAAATAAAAGCGAGCTGATATCCAGGGGAAAGTGGCTCCCAGGAGCGCGGAGGCTGTGTGCCAGCGCTGGTGCAGTGTGTGAGCTGGCACAGGGACGGGCTCCGGGAGCTTCCGCCAGAGGCCCTGTGAGAGCCACAGAGCAGGTGTGCAAGCTGCAGAATGAGAGGCAACAGCAAACGTGTTGAAACAACCCGAATCCTTCCAGACTTGATCTGTCCAAAAATCGGAATTCCAAGCAGCCGCTCAGACAGAATGGGGAAGGCCTGCCAGGCGCTGCGTGGGAGAGGCGGGCTGCGGGCCGCCCAGGGCTGCTGGGACTGTGCTGCTCCCGGTCGGCAGCGCCGTGTCGGCAAACGTCTCAAGAGCAGGACCTCTTCAGCTGGAATCAGTCTCATCCTCGTGCGTCTTCAGTAAGGGTACCTGGGATCCATGGAACCCTGGAGGAGCGGAGACCTGCACGTGGATGAGTGGGAATTCATGGGAGAAAGTCCCGGGAGAGACACACCCGAAATTCTAGCTGTGTAACTCGGGCGGAGAGATGTACCCAGCCGAGGGCAGGAGGTGACAAGGACAAGGACAGCCGACTGCTGGCCCTGAGCTCCGCCAGCAGGGGCTGCCCCAGGGCACAGTGGCGTACAAGGGTCCCCTCTTCCCTGCTCTGCCTCCCTGCCCCCTACCCCGCCTGGACGCCGACCCTTCCTTCCCCAGAGACCCAGAGACAAGCGTGTCACCCACGGCCCTTACTCCTTAGATCCTGAGGCCAGGCCGCCCCCAGCGCTCGCCCCAAGCCTGCTGCCTGCCCCGCTGGCCGGGCCTCGGCCACAGCAGATGCTACCCAGGAGGAGAGCTGTGGGGATGAGTGGAGTGAGGTCTCGGGGTTCTCAGGACCCGTCTGTACACGCATGTGCAAGCACACGTGTGCGTCCACGAGTTGCAGTGGGCAGACCGGTAACACCTGCGTGGGCTCTGCCCCGTGGGGCTTCGCGCATCTGCCGAGGGGAGGCCGTCCTCACTGACTGCCTCGGGTGCTCGCCACCAGGACAGGCTCCCTTCTCCCCCCAATCCCACCCGGCTGTGCTCTCTCCCTGGAAGTGAACTTGGTGACCCTGGAATTCCGTTCAGAGCACAGGAGCGTCCAGGGCACACAGCTCAGCCTGCAGAGGTGTCGAGGTTTTTGTTCTTGTGTTTGTTTTCCTCTGGGCCGCACTCTTTCTTAAGAAATGTATTCAAATCGAATGACTTGCAGATTCTTAAAAATTTGGAAGCTGTTACATAAAACCATGGACTTCACCTTTTTGGAAATTGAGACGCCCAGGTGCTCCGGGCTCCCCTTCCCGAGACCCCACTATGCTGGGCCCGACAGGGTGGGGAGAACCCAGTTCCCAGAGCTCCCCTCCCATGCCTGGTTTGGGACGGGGTCTTTGGGGCGTGTCATCTGTAGGCTCTCCTTGTCTGACACTGCAGCCTGCATGTCAGGAGGGCATGTGGAGGCTGGGCCCGTGGACCCTCCAGCCACCTGACCCGGCCCCCGAAGTGGGCTGCAGTAGGCGGGGCCTCCCCACTTCCTCCCGTCCAGCGGATCCACCCGCAGCAGATCCCGGAGGCTGACCCTGTGCCATGCACAGTGGGCAGTTTCACCCGGCGACGCCCCACAAGGCGAAAGGAGAGTGGGTGCTGGCCCCGAGGGAGGAGGGCAGTAGCCTGCAGCTGGGGCTGACGGGGCTGACTCGGGCGTGTGCACAGCTACCGCCATCCTCGAGCTGGGTCCCGGGCAGCCTGGGCTGGGGTCGGCTCCGAGAGCAGGGGTCGGGGATGCTCTCTGGAGCAGGTGTGGAGGTCTGAGGCTGTGTCACACCCCCGGGGCGCTATGCCATGGCAGGTGCCGGGGCAGAAGGGGGTAGCTGTGGGCTGCAGAGCCCTCCCGGGGCCACTCACTCCAGAGGGTCTGGGTTGCCCTCCAGAGGACGTACGCCGAGCCCCCTGTGTTCCGGAATGGTGCCCGGTGCTTCGTGGTGGAGCTCAGCGAGTGTCTTCAAGGGGCTTCCACAGAAATGGGGCAGGCTGGGGGTGGGGGTGGGGGGCGAGGCAGTCCCCAGCGAGCCTGCTCACTGCTGGAAGTGTGGGGTGTGCACTCCGAGGTGTCCAGAGCCCCTCTGGATCCACAGGAGAGGAGCCAGGTGGGCTTCCTGGAGGAGGGGGCATTCGGGATAGTCCTTGGGGAACGGGAATGTTCTGAGGGGGCGCGTGGCCCACTGGGGAGGAGCAGGAAGAGCCAGGCAGTGTAAGAAGAGGTGGCGTAGGAGGTGGTGGCCATGAGGCCACCAGGGCCCTCTGGAATTGGGGTTCGGGGCGGCAGCATGCGCTGGGCGGTCACAAGACTGCTGCACTATGTCTGGAGGTGTGCACCTGCCGCTGGCCGAGGGGAGCACCTGCAAGTGTGAAGATGGCCGAGAGCAAAGGTGGCGCCTTGGGCCCAGCTCCTCATGTGGCCCTGGCACAGGCTGTGGTGGGGGCACCGGCCAAGTCCCAGCACCAGGCCTGCAGGGCCCCCACCCAGTCCCAGGGCCAGGCTGCTAGCTTGACGATTGACGTCCTGCCCCAGCGGACAGCCTGAGAGCTGAGGCGCCCCTCCCTCCTCTGCCCCCGGAGTGGACAGGGCAGGCACTGGGGGACCTGGGCAAAGCCACGTCACCCACCCCCGGCCCCAGTTTCGTGGTCGATGTCCACGGCCACAGCAGAGCTGCCCGTTGGTCACCTCATGGGCCTTGGCGGACGCCAGGGCCAGGCCCGTGGTGAGGTTCTGGCGCCCAGGAGGGCAGGCTGAAGTGGCGACACTGCTGGGCCCTGACAGGCCTCTCCCCGCTGCAGGCCCCCCGGACGCCGGCGCCTCCCAGCCGCTGCTTGTCTGGCTGCTGCTGCCCCTGCTGCTGGGCCTGCTGCTGCTGCCCGCCGCCTACTTCTTTAGGTAGGAGTGTCCTGGGCTCTGACTCCCCCGGCCGGCTCGGATGAGGAAATGCGCTTCCTCGGGGCGTGGGGCGTGGGCTGCGTGGCTGAGAGCCGCAGTCGGCCAGGCCTGCGCTGGGCTCAGCCATGAGCAGCAGGAAGAGCTTCTCCCGGCTCACCTGGTGGGTATCCCTCGGCGGGGGGCTCCTGGCAGGCCTGGTGTGTGGACCCCTAATGAGTCTGTGCCTCTCAAAGGTTCAAGAAGCAGAGGAAAGCCGTGGTCAGCAGCGGCGACAAGAAGATGCCCAACGGGCTCCTGGAAGAGCAAGGTCAGCGGGCCCCGCCTGGCCGGGCTCCCCGGGAAACGCGCCTTTCGGTTGCTTGCTTGCTTTGATCTTTGGGGGGCACCTCCAATTCTTCCCGCTCTGCCGCTGTCATGGGCGCTGCCTGGATTCTCCTGCGGTCGTTACGCTTCTGAGCGTGCGATCTCTGGGGGATCTCAGCGCTCCTCTGCAAGGATGGGCTCCCCCTCCGGTGGGAAGCCCACGTTGGAGACGTTCGCCTGCGGCTTTTGCGCACATCCTGTCGTTTCTGCAAGGTTTTGACTCAGAATATTTTTCCAAAAGGCCCTTGAACTTCAAAGATGAGACTGTGGGCCTCACGGTCGCACGGGTTCAGCTGAAACGGCCCCGTGGCAGGCTCCAGCTGGGAGGGGTGGGGGGGCTGCCCCCCAGAGCGTCTCGTGCCGTCGGGGAGGGCGGCGCGCTGTCTCTAACTCCAGGTTCAGTTTCTCAGTTGTAAATGCCGCCTTCAACGCTGCACTGTTTTCCTGTCCCCGTGCTGAGGTGGCCGAGACAGGCACAGCAGACAGACCAATAAGTAGTGGTTCACGCCTGTGGCTGTAGCTTCCTGTGGCTGGCTTCCTACCTCACTGGGGCCTGGGGCGCATCCGTGCCGTCAGAATGCAGAAGAGGGGTTGGAAGCCACCAGGCCGCCGAGCTGCAGGCCGGCAGCTTGGCAGTGCTCCGGGACCTGCGGCCCCCAGAGCCCCCTCTCCCGGCCATGGGCGGGAAGAGGGTGCGGCCGGCGGGGAGCAGGGCCCCGCTACCGCAGGCCCATCTGTCTCCGGCAGCTCTTGGCTGGGCGCCAGCCACCTCTGCAGGTGGGGACAGGCCCTCTGCGAGTGTGGCAGCCGAGTTCTCACGTAGACTCTGTCAACAGCGCTCACGTCCCAGAAAGAGAGGCACAGGCCCGGGGCGTCTTCCTGCCTCTCTCTCCGACCATCTGGGCTTGGCTTCTCCTTTTGCACCCGCTCCCCGCGGTTTCTGGGCTGGGGGGTGTGAGGAGCCGTCTGTGCAAAGGAGGGGAGGCTGAGGGAGACCCTCACCCTGCATGTCCAGTCTCGTCTGCACTTCTACCTGGACGTCTGTGATTGGCGTGCCCTGGTTCCAAACCCAGGACGTGCGCTGGGCCGTCCTCCCTGCCGGGAGCCGAGCTGGAGGGGAGGCTGGTGGGTGAGGGAGCCAGAAGGGTCTTGGTGTCTCTGAGGGGGTGGGGGTGGGGCTCTGAGCAGAGGACAGAGGGGGGGATGAGGATGGTCTCCGATCCAGCTGCTCCCACCCCACGTAGCCCCGGGGAACATTGCAGAAATGCTGTCAGCCCGTCCAGCGATGAGTGTGGCAGGCTGTGGCTGAAGGCGCCCTCTCCTTTGACCCACAGAGCAGCAGAGGGTGATGCTGCTGAGCCGGTCTCCCTCGGGGCCCAAGAAGCACTTTCCCATCCCCGTGGAGCAGCTGGAGGAGGAGGTGCGCCTGCGCTCCGCCGACGACGGCAAGCGCTTCCGCGAGGAGTTCAACGTGAGTCCGGGGGGAGGGGGGCCGTGGCACTGTCCAGTGCAGGTGGCCCGCGACTCCAGCCCCCGTCCCCAGCAGCGGCTCCCGTGGGGCTGGCTTCCAGTGCGGTGCCCTCGTTTGAGACAAGACGGTGTGTGTGCCGTCCGGAAGGTTCCTGCCGGCTGAGGCACCCTGAGAACTGTGTCTGGTCAGCAGGGGCAGAGACGCTGTGAGCTCGGGGGACCAGGAGCCCAGCACAGGCTGACGGCCTCATGCTGAGAGCCGTGGATTTCAAGTGGTATCCCTCATGCGGGTCCCTCGTGGGGACCGCCTTGCGGGGACGGCAGCTGCGCCTCGGGCAGCCATACGTGTGCGTGCAAGCGTGGGCCCCGTCTCTGCTGGCCGGGGAGGGCTGACTCAGCCCAGGATTTGGCCAGCTGGGGCCTTCCCATGCGAGCAAATTGATTCCCTTTACTCCTACTTAGTACCTCCCCCTGTGCCACAGCGCCCGCCCCGTTAATTCTTAATTTAATGTCCCATTAACTTTGAATCAGCCGAATGTGTGGCCTGATGGAGACACAGACAGACAGACAGACACCAGGAAGTGCTTTCTCGGGTTCTATCTCCCACGCTCATCCCGTCACGCTCTGGGTTTTGTCGGAGGCATCGTCAGCTTTTGTGCCCGGCTGTGTGCTGAGTGCTGGGCCCCACAGCGGGCAGTGTCCACCACCCCAGCCGGCTCTGAGCCGGCTTCAGTCTCGCAGAGGCATGGGGGTGGGGCTGCCTTAATGACCCCCGGCTCAGGGGTGGGCTCCCAACCAGCCAGGTGTCAAGCAGGGGCTCTGTACACGCGCAGCTGACAAGTGACGTGTCACCGGCGGCAGCTGCAGCGCCCGGGAAGGTGGGGATGCGGTTAAACTTACTGTGCTTGTTTTTTAGCACAAGTTTCGTCTGCCTTTGTCTTGCTTCCTTTTTATTGTTTCCAAATGTGTCCTCTATAATTATTTTTTTGAGGAATTAGGTCAGATTGAAAGACAGCTCCTAGCACTATTGTCTTGCAATCTCAGCTTGACAAGAAAAGTTAATTCTGCGTTTCCAAACTAACTGCCCAAGTCTGCAGCCAGAGGCTCTGCCCCTCCTCCTCCCCACTTCCCCTCACGCTCGTCTCTCTCTGGGTGGAGGGAGGCTGGCGGTGGGGCTGCTGGCAGCGAGCCCCCCCCTGTCTCAAAAGTGAGGGCAGCCTCTTGGGGTGGGGCGGGGAGCAGGGGGTGGGGGGAGGCACCTGCCCCTGGCTCAGTATTTTTTTTCTTTTTTCTTTTTCTTTTTATTTTTTTGACAGGCAGAGTGGACAGTGAGAGAGAGACAGAAAGGTCTTCCTTTGCCGTTGGTTCACCCTCCAATGGCCGCCGCGGCCCGCGCACTGTGGCCGGCGCACTGCGCTGATCTGATGGCAGGAGCCAGGTGCTTCTCCTGGTCTCCCATGGGGTGCAGGGCCCAAGCACTTGGGCCATCCTCCACTGCACTCCCGGGCCACAGCAGAGGGCTGGCCTGGAAGAGGGGCAACCGGGCCTGGCTCAGTATTTAAGGAAGCTTAATGCTCAGGATAAGCCATATCCTCAATTTGTTTTTTAATTTGAAAGAGAGTTGGAGGGAGAGAGAGAAATCCCATCTGCTGGTTCACTCTCCAAATGCCCACAGCAGCCTAGGGGTGGAGTCAGAAACTCCGTCCTGGTCTCCCTCGTGGGGGCAGGAGCCCAGTCACTTAGCCAGTACCACTGCCTCAGAGAGCACTGGTGGGAAGCTGGAGACAGCAGCCGGAGCCAGGAATCAGACACAGCAGTCCTAACAGGCGGCTTCTCCGCCAGGCTAAATGCCTATCGCTGTCTTCTAACGCAATGATTAAAAATGCCAAAAGCAACACAAGCCTTCTTCGAGCACAGACAGCACAGTGTTCAATGAGGACAGCATGAGCTGGACTTCTCCTGTTCCTGGCACCAGTAACCGATTGTGTCAGTATTCAGAAGTTGAGCATTTGGGGCATCATGGATTTGAGGCATTCATTTGGAATCTTTTTTTAAATATACAACATGATGGGGCCAGCACCGTGGTGCAACTGCCACTGATACGGGTGCCAGTTTGAGTCCCAGCTACTCCACTTTCAATCTGTCACCCTGCTAATGCGCCTGGGAAGGCAGTGGAGGACAAGCCAAGTGCTTGGGCCCCTGCATCCACGTGGAGACCTGGAAGAAGCTCCTGGCTCCTGGCTTCAGATTGGCCCAGCTCCAGCCATTGAGGCCATTTAGGGAGTTAAGCAATAGATGGAAGACTCTCTCTCTCTCTCTCTCTCTCTCTCTCTCTCTCTCTCTCCCCCTCCCTCCCTCCCTCCCTCCCTCCCTCTTGCTTCTGTGTCTCTCTGTAACTAAGACTTTCAAATAAATAAATAAGTCTTTAAAAAGATTATACAACATGAGAAGATTGTTCCTCCCACTTCCTGAGGGTTTGGGTGCCCTGAGCCAAAGCCCACGCTCTCCCTGCCTCTGCACAGCCTCAGCTGATTCCAGACTCCCGCTGCTGGGTCACGGACGGAGCCGAGATCTGGTGTAGGGAGGAGCACTGGACTCAGAGCCAGCCGCTGAGACCTGGCACACGCTGCTTGGCGCTGCGTGACCAGCGGGCTCTCGGATGCCCTGAGCAGCAGCCTGAGTTTGGCTCTCCTCCTGCCCCACCCCGCCCCGCTCTTTCCCTGCCTGAGTTTGGCTCTCCTCCTGCCCCACCCCGCCCGGCTCTTTCCCTGCCTGCTGGCCGGAGTTCCTCTCCCAGAAGCCGCAGGAGCGGCAGAGAGGAGCCTCAAGTACTCCATCGGGCCGAGTCGGGACAGGCAATGCTGGTACTCCTGAGGAGGATAACACGTGCTTGGTTTTGGGGTCGGTGCGGTGGGGTGAATGCTGGAGCCAGCCTGGAGGGCTTGGGAAAGGTACTTACCCGGTCTGCCTCAGTCTCCTCATCCGTGAAATGGGGGCACCCTGCACCCCTGTAGGGCTTGAGTGACATGTAAGTGAGAGAAAGCAGCAGGCAGTTGGAGCCGGCACTGTAGCGTAGTGGGTAAAGCTGCCACTTGCAGTGCTGGCATCCCGTATGGGTGCTGGTTCGAGACCCGGCTGCTCCACTTCTGATCCAGCTCTCTGCTGTGGCCTGGGAAAGCAGTAGAAGATGGCCCAAGTCCTTGGGCCCCTGCACCCACTTGGGAGACCTGGAGGAAGCTCCTGTCTCCTGGCTTCGGATCTGCACAGCTCTGCCCATTGCAGCCAATTGGGGAGTGAACCAGCCGATGACCTCCCTTCCTCCCTTCCTTCCTCTCTCTCTCTTTCTCTGCCTCTCCTTCTCTCTGTGTGTAACTGTGGTTTTCAAGTAAAATAATAAATCTTTAAAAAAAGAAAAAGAAAAAAAAAGAAAGCAGCAGGCAGCACGCGAGTCC